TCATGGCTGACACTACAATATAACTAAATTGGTTTCAGTCTAGCACAGAAAAAAGCAGCACAGTGAGTATGTAGTGAAAAGAAAATAGTATGTGTTGGTAAGTTTTTAGAGGTTTGGCCGTGAAAGACAGCAAAGAAGTGAAAGAGTAGCTGGAAGAAGGACAATTCAGGAAGGTAATAAATCATGTCCTTATGTTGAAAGGAATGATTTAGCAAAAAATGAGAATGAATAACCAAATGATTGTGTTGTTTAAAAAAAAAAAAAAAAAAGCTAAAGCTGTCAATACTTATGGAGATGTGAAATTTGAGTTCTTCACATATTAAAAAAAATTCAGACTATGGAAGCCAGATTTAAAATATGGCAGGAAGGATACAAAAAAAGTGACACAAGAACAGGAAATCAAGCTGGTCCTCAAGGGAAATACCCTCTAATAGACAAATTAACTATTTCAAAGTTAGAGGCAAAGTAATAACAAATTACAAACAACTAAGAAATATATTTAGTTCATAAACAATCTCATCATTCCTGTTAAGCATTTACTTTTACATTATATATAGCCAGTTCAATTAAAATATCTTTAAATTGCCTACCCAGCCACTGTGAGACACTGCAGTTCAGCTGCAATTCTTACAGGATGGCTTGTTGGAATTAAGTGTTTGAGAGCAATTTTCTCTTCCGGTCCTACTTGTAACTGTGCTGTGGCCAAATAGACTGAGCTGAAAGTGCCTATAAAATAATTTATTAGAATTTTCAATATTCAACTTTTAAAGTTTTTAATAGATCAACAAACTATTTTAATGGCATAACAGATTAAACTAGAAATGTTCATTTTACTGTAAATATTTATTATTTATACTTTCATTCTTTCTGGGGGGGGAGAAAAGTGTTACCATAATTTATACCATAATTTACAGTATTCTTGTGGTTTTAACAGTTCAAAAAGTGAGATAAAAAATAATGAAAATCAAGATCAAGCAAGGAAAATATATGAAAAAAACTCATAAAGGTAAAAATATAACCCCAATTACCTTCTCCAATTTTGTCCTCTATTTTAAATACACTGCCAAGCTGTGGAACAGCTTCATAAAGATTCTCAATGTCTTTTTTAACACCTATCAAGGAAAAAAATTTACAGTTACAGTCAATAAGATATACTTTTATAGTTTCTAAAGTTAAAAATATTCAGTGAAATAAATTCTAACACAATCATAAACAAAATAGTTTTAATAAATCTTATGTTACAAAAATAAAACCTCATCAAGGTACTTTGACTCACATTACCTATTTTAACTAACAAAAATGACAGCCCCCAAATTACACATAACAAAATATCTACTACACTGGAATTACTGACTAATAGTAACTCTACTAATATTGCATATTTGGCTTTCAATGAAGCTAAATTTTAAAAGTAATTAAAGCTGGACACAGTGGTCTTCACCTGTAGTAATCCTGAGGCAGGATTACTTGAGCCCAGGAGTTCAAGGCCATGCTGTACAATGTTGTAAAACCTTGTCTCTTAAAAACAAAACCACAAAAAACTAAACACAAAACAAACAAAACTCAAAATAAAAATTAAAAGCAAATAAGTTTATGCTGCAGTCACTAGATGGCATAATATGAACACAATGTAATGTTCATCAAAACTATTTTCTTCCTCAGAGATATAGAATCTTGAAGCTTGGAAGGGTTATGTATTGGATATTCACAGTATATCTACCAAGAGAAGGACCACTAAAGCTCTGTGCATGTAAAAAGTACTTTAAAAGATTTGTCCCAAATAACATTAGTATCTTCTGCCTTGAACAGAAAAATTGCTACATTTAAATAAATATAAGCTGTTTATGAAAACATACACAGTTAAAATAAGTACAGGCAGTAATGTGCAATCTAATAAACTTCTGGATTCAAAAAGAAGCTATAGCTGGGCGTGGTGGTGCACGCCTGTAATCCCAGCACTCCGGAGGCTGAGGCAGGAAGATTGCTGTGAGTTCGAGACCAGCCTGGGCTACACAGAGAGTTCCAGGTCAGTCTCAACTACATAGTGAGACCCTGTCTCAAAAAACAAAACAAACAAACAAACAAAAAAAAAGAAGCTGCAGAAGTCTTGACATTTTATCAACAATATATAAGTATCAGCACTTCAAGTTACCATAATACTCAGTTTAAGACATTTTCAAAACACTTTCACATGTATTATTTTTTCATATCTTCGTAACAGCAATGTGATATTGGCAGAACAGAAATTAATATTCTGATTTTTCAGACACAGATACTCTATTCAGAGAAGCTAAATCATTAACCCAGTTTCACAGAGGTGTAAGTCATTCAGTCAATAAACAGGTTTTAAAAATGCTTGGCCATGGGTGTATTTGAAAAATGAAAAAACAGGTGCAACCTCTATTCTCTAGGATTTAGTCTAGTTAAGGAGACAGACATTACTCTTACTACAATGGTAACTGTCAGAGAAGAATGCATATAGTACTAGGTAGAAGAGACACAGAGTTGGGGAAATAAATACTTCTGAAGAAGAAGCCTTCAGATGACAACCACATTCTGAAGCATTCATCAAGAAGCAAAAATGGAAGAAGACATTTAGGAAGAAGGAAGTACATATATAAAAGCACTGAAAAGGAAAAGGCACAGAATAGTGGGGAAAGGAGAGGGAAAGACCTAAGAAAATACAATGCAGCTAAGGAAGGGAAAAGCAGAACACAAGTGAAAGCTAGGAAAAGTTGTTAAGCACAAACATGACAAGTAGAACATGGACTTGAAGGGAAGTAAGAACATGAAGAGCTGGAGACCAAATAAGAAGCCAGGATCTAGACGTTCCCAAAACGGAGGGCTTTGCTATTCATCCATTACACTAAGTACTTTATATCTTTGCAGTAAGTCTTTCGTTCAAATATTTCAAGCACCTAGTATGTGCTGGATCCTGTATGGTTCTGGGAATGCAAAGATGTATAAAAAGTCCCACTATCCGATCAAACACGTAACTTCAATAAGGAGTAAAGTTGATGAAGTCCAGGCACATAACTGTCTCTTGATCTAATTGAGAAAGTAGACTAGATCATGAGACAGTTATGTGCCTGGACCTCATCAGCTTTATTCTTTATTGAGTTATGTTTTTGATATAACTGTAGCTTTTATTAAGGGTCATATAGTAAAAGAACCATATGGGTAAACTTTCAGCATGTTTTATATATTATCATAGGCATTATTTATAATGTTGTCCAATGCGGGGTTATGTGAAAAGGCTACAGAACTTTCAAAATTGGAAATAAAATTTACCCAACTCTTTATTTCCCAGTGGATTTTAAGAATATTAGAACAGTACTGTCCTGAACAGAATGCTAAAACCAAATCAGATTGATCCATTTACACACTCTACTTAATAATGCACAACATATATCACAAGCCAAACTAGAGACAAAATAGACTGCTGATACAAGAAAAATAACTACATTATTATATTGTGTATGCAGTCACTAAAAATGGAAAGCTAAACAGTGAAAAATAGGTAACTATAAGAAAGGAAGAGAAGAAAGAACATACATGAAACTGGATGGAATTGGTATTTTAAAGTTAATCTAGTAGCAGCATTATAAAATGAAATGGGAGGCTGGATCAGAAGTAAAAGGTAAGAGTCTTAATTGTAATTCAAGAACAAAGTGTATGGGAATCAGTGAGGTAGAAATGGGAGAGTAAGCAACGGTATATATATTAAAAAAGAAGATAAGTTGGGTGACTGAATATAGGAAGCAAATACAAAGCATAAATGAAATAAAATTTTAAATTTGGTAACTGAAATATAACAGTGAGTTTCACCACGAAAAATAGGGACACTGGGAAGGGTACCCAACTTGACCCCTAATAAATTTAGTTTTATTCAGAAAGCAAAAGTATGTGTTGTCATATTTTTTAGGGTAAAGGCTTTTTAGTGTACATATAAAGTACAGATCAAAGTAAAAACTTTTGACCAAGGTCAAAACTAAGATCTTTTGGAGAAGCATCAAATTGGCCTAGGACAAAGGCGGACAAGACTTAGTTACCATTGAGGAGAAAAAAAAGCAGTCTCCTGGAATTCTTCTATTTAAAAAATATTTATTAAATGTTCCGTATGTCCCAGGCACTGTGATAGAAGAGGAATAAAGGTACACCTTTTAGAGTATAAGATCTGGTACAAAATCATCTTCTCAGCCCAAGGTTGGTCTGGGTAATGGTCTGGTTAGGGTCAAACACTTGATGAATTACACTTATATGTTATTGTGTTTTGTCACTATCACAAACATTTCATTTATTTTTATCAGTGAATGCTGCTTTTGAATACTTAAATTGAAATACTTCAAATGTCAATTACCAAAACCACATTTAGTGCAGAATGGTGAGGAGAGGAAAGAGCAGGTCTAGGAAAAGACAAATTCTAGTTTAGACAACAAACTTGTGTTTTCTTAGCCAGTAATACTTAGGTATTAGCATCTTCATCTGTAAAACGGTACAATTGGATTACAGTCCTCTTAAAAAGTAATCTTATTCTTAAATCTAGACCCTTATTGTTAGGGAATTGATCATGTTAAAATATGCTGTGACGCCGCCTCACAGGCTGCATTCTCCTGGTACATCTTGGCTCCTAAAATGACCTCATGCCCTTATCTCTGGTTTCCCTCCCCCCCAAGGCCACAGTGGTCCAGGAAAGTTGAAACCTGTGTCTGCAGGACTGGGCCCATAAAAGCAACCTGGCCTGTGATAGGTTAAAAGTAACTCACTCCTCATAAATAAGCAATAGCCCACCCCAAAACCGATAAAAGGACTCTCTCTCTCTTCTCTCTCTCTCTCTCTCTCCTCTCTCTCTCTCTCTCCCTCCCTCCCTCTCTCTCTCTCTCTTCCTGCCTCCTGCTCGCCTCCCTACAATAAAGATCTCCTGCTGTACCTCTCGGTGCGTGAGTGGCCTAATTGGGAAGGGGCACCCGAAAGGGCACGCGAACCCCCCCTTTCACTTATGTATTTGCAAAATGCTCCTACATAAACATACAATTCACCTTTTCAATGTTCTTTGTTAAAGCAGTCGAAAATATAGAGTGGCTGCCTGTGCATTTTTAAAATTGCACATGTTGAGAAGTAAACACGTACCTGGAAGTTTAAAATTCTGCTCATATTTTTTTAAAGAATCATCAGTCTGAAACTGGTCACACAGTGGAGAAAAAGCCATTGGCTCGTCCATCTGAATCCCCAAAGATGCCTCCATCACAAAAAAAACGGGTCCAAAATGTCAAGAGGTTATGTCCACAAGGGGAGCAAAGCAGCTGTCAAAATGTGAATACTGGAGCAGGTAAGTTTAATCATTCACAGAACCAAGCACGAAACAATGCCACTACTCTCAAAAGGGCAAACATTTAAAAATGTACCATATGCCCAAATCCCCAAAGTAAGGGAAACTGGCCCAGTCCTAGGAACTCCATTCGAATTTCTTTCACCTTCTAAAAATACCAGCAGTTGCCGCAAGGAACAATTCCCAGTCGGGGGTGCCTCAGCTGCAGCTGGCAGCAGTGGTAAGGGATTGGAGCGAGGGCCATCGGAGACAGCGAGCCTGGACATCAGGCAGCTGAAGGACGTAGGGCAGAGAGGCGAAAGGGGGACGGTGGTTTGTCCCGGGGAAGAGGCCGAATAAGGAAATCATTTGCTCACTGACTGCCCCAAAGAGCCGGGAGGCTCAAAGCAAACTTCCAAAGCCCCATACAAACTGATGGAAAATTCAGTTCTGGCCATGAGAGCGGGGCGGGACACGAGAAGGGAAACCGCGACCTCGGGTTGTGAGTTCCGCAAGACAGGCCCTTCCGCCTTAGGACCCGAGCCTGAACCTGAACCAGGGTGCTTAGAGCGCAAGCGCGCGACTTTCCCGCCGGAGGTCGGCGGGATCTGAAGGGGTGGGAAGGCGAAAGGGATAAACTCCGTTGCGACAAAACTGAAGTCTAGATTGAGAATTCGTTCTTAAGCCCTCACAATCCCGCGCCACGGAGAGAACCGTCGGAAACTCACGGTTTAAGGGAGTACGACTTCCGTGGCTCCCCAAATGCCTGGGTCGCCGCCTCCAAAGCTCCCCACCTATCGAATCAGCGACACGCGCCTGCGCAACGATTCGCGCCTCGCTGTTTGGAGTTGCTCATGCGCTATAGAAAGCCCTGGGCGCTACCACATCAGACCCAGGGCGCCTGCGCAAAAGGCTTGGGCGACTTTCTGGGGTTGGGTTGGTGGTGGTGTGTTAAAACAAAACAAAGCAGACGAAAGCAGTTACAGAAGTGAAATCTCCGGATAAAGTTAAGGGGCTGAGCCTATTTTCAGGAAAGCCTCTTGCCAGTTCTGGCACATCCCTATACTTTTGCAACATAAGACGTTGGGTAAACTGTGGATAAAAGGAACCTGGCTCGCTGCTAGAGTGCCCTACCCCATTACAATCAATCAAACAAAAATTCCTCGCTGTTTGTGGCTTTATTATAGTAGAAATGACTAGGGTGGCAATCAGGCCAACAGTGTATGTGTACCCCTTAGCTATGAGGTAGGCAAGTTTCTAGGGCCTGAGTTTAGAGCCCCGAACAAACGTCATCTTTCACGGAATAAAATTCCAGTTAGCCGGACGTGGTGGCGCATGCTTGTAATCTCAGCACTTGGGAGTCTGAGGCAGGATAGCTGTGAGTTCCAGCTCACTCACAACTACATAATGAGACCCTATCTCAAAAAAAAAAATCCAGTTAGCTGGGTGTGGTGGCGAATACCTATAATCCCAGCACTGAGGAATCAGGAAGGAGGATCGCTGTAAATTCAAGGGCAGCCTAGACTACACAATGAGCTCAAGGCCAGCCTGAATGAAATAGGAGAACTTGTCTCACTCGCTCAATCAATCGGTAATTCCACTTAGGCTGTGACAATAGAGGAAGCAAAAATGAGCCATGTACTTCTAGGCATTGATTAGCACTCAAAAGAGATAAAATTGGAGGATGCCTAAGGGACTAGGGGGAGTGCTTGATGAGACAGTCAAGAAAGGCCTCTCAGAGAAGAGATCTAGATAAGAAAGAGTCAATAGGGAAAACAGACTACCCAGAAAATGGACACAGAAAGTGCAGCGATAAATGAGCCTGAGGTGGTTGAGGGGGCAGAAGCACAATGAGTGAAAGGAAATATAGTCTGAGGGTAAAGACTTAGGTAGAAGCCAATCATGTAGGCTTTGAAAGCTGGGGTAGGAAGTTGGCTTTTATTGTAAATACAATGGGAAGCAATTTTAAAGCAAGGCAATGATGTTGTCTCCTTTATATCTATTGTGAAGCAATAAAGTGAGAGAGGAGGGTGAAGGAATGGACTCAAGCACAGGAGGGGAGATGGACCTTTGAAAAGAAAAATTCCCATCCTTTTAATGGAAGGAAAGATAGAAGACATATTCCAATGAAAATGGTTTGTGTATGAGTATGAGGGTAAGGCAGGTCCTATCTGATCACATCAACTGTCCTAATACAATTTGAAGTCAGTCCTCCATCTGAGGAGCTAAAGAAGAGAATGTTAGAGGTTGGGTAAGTCAGAAGAAGGTCAGAGATATAAGAATGAGATGGTAAACTATAGAAAGATTGTGACATAATCAGCAAAGCCTGATTGACCATTTGCAATTTGTATCAATGAGTCCAGATGGCACAATGATATAATTTTCTCAAGTACATGTCAGTCAAAAGAATACAGATATGAAAGAAGATAGCTGAGTTTAAGGACCACTATCACACAGAGTGCAAGTCAGAGTGTTTGCAAGGAAGTGATTATAATGATTCACCACGGAATTTTAGGGAGGCAAGAAGGAACTATATACATATGGATTGACCCACCCAACCTTACACAGACTAAAAAGTGCTGCGAACAATGGACCAGTAATCTCAGCAATCTCACAATTAGTATAATGAAGATCAAAGGATGAGTTGAAAGGATAGAGGTAGTAGGTGGCACATGGAGTGGTGAAAATTGGGATTCCAGAGATAAGGTTATTGGAGGGAATAAAGATGTTGGGGGAAAAGATCTATTTTGGTGTGAAAAGGTCAAGTTATTCTCATTGCACAACTTATGATCAGACCAAAGAGATGCTAGTTATTTTGACTCATACGCTTTCTTCCCAGGCAGTAAGTAGTATCTCCTCCTGTGGGGTCCATTAGTACATTATGAATGCCTCCATTTCAACACACAAGCATAGGAAAGAAACACAAAATCTCTGTCCATCCCAGACTGCAGCAGGAAACTGTGAAGGAGTCCCAAACAGAGTGCTCAAATATGGAGTGAGGAGCAACAACAACAACAAAATGGCTTTAATAATGCTGGTGGCTCTGCAGGTGACTCCTGTCAGTTTTGATAGCCCCAAATAGAAATTTGTTTCTCTTCTATACCTCTTTTTACATTTATGAGGCTTACTTTCATTGGCGTTTCTGTGGGAATATAGCAAGCAGGATTTACACAAAGCAGAGCAGCAGGGTGGGGGAAGAACAAAGAGTCCTGGCAGGACTTTCTGAGTCCCTGAGGCTCCTTTGGTGACAGATTACAGAAGCTGTCAGTGGTTACTCAGGTGCATTCCACAAAGAGCGTAGTTAACCCGTTAACCCATAGTAGCCTAATAACACTGTTAACCCATAGTTGCCCAATTTCCATACAGAGGGGTGGTTTCCTCTCTGAAGACCACTGAATCAGAATCTACCATATGGCAAGGTTCCTAGATAATTTGAATAAACTGTAAAATCTCAGAAGCACTACTGGAAAACAGTGGTTCTCATTCATACTTAGATGTTAGAATCACATGAAGGATTGTTGGAGGTCAGGCTGCACCCCAGATCAATTACATCAGGATTTTAATGGGTGAGATCTGAGCATAGGACTTTTTAAAGCTCCCTCATTTGATTCTGATGTACAACCGAGGATGAGAACCATTGATTTAGAAGTTGGTCACATGAATCCACAAACCTCTGATTGTAATCATTCATTAATCCTCCAGTTATTTCCTCCATTAATCATGTAATTAGCTGTATACTGTTTAACTTCTCCTTTATGTCTTTTATATTAAGTGCACAGTGCTACTAATTTGAATGATCCCATCTTGTATCTTGAATTGTTTGTAAGATGGACAAATTACTCAATATTTCTGGCAGTCTATTTTAAAAATGTAAAATATATATATAAATGTAAAATAGATATATAAAAATGTAAAATAGATAAAATGCTTGCTTGGTTTTGCTATACAGATTAAATTAGATAAAGGGACATAAGACACTAAGATGCATAGAATACTTAGCCTCTGATGTTGCTACTCCATTTAATCTGTAGTAGATATTTTCTCCCCTTTTCCCTTTGATTATATCCTTAATGGCTAGCACATTGCTGTCCACATATTAGAAAATTAATAAATGGATATGGAGTGTTTATAGCAGTACAGTTTGTAATAGCTAAAACTTGGAAACAGCCCAAATGCCCATCACCTGGAGTCCGGATAAAGATGTGGTTTTTTTCTATTTAATGGAGTACTTCTCACCATAAAGCACAAGAACTAGAGACATCTATAGCTAAATGGATGCATATTGAGGCAATACCCTTAAGTGAAATAAATAGGACACACATGTGTAAATATTGAATAGTTTCTGTTTTGAAAAACTAAAGGTGTAAGGAAGGTTCAAAATGAATAATTGATAATGTGAAATAGGAAGAAAAGGGCTAAAGGAGTAGGGGAAGTGGGAAGGGTAGGGAAAGGAAAGAAGGGAAAAGGAAAAATGGAAATAAAGTCTTTGTAAATAGGAAAGGGTGGAGGGGCTGAAGGGAGGGAGGGCAGGGGAATGGGAAAAAAATAAGAACCAAGATACATCATGTAAAGGTACAAGATCCCAATGATAAGTGTAACTGTACTGTGTACCTAAAAAGTACCAATAAACTTAATAAAAAAAGAGAGAGAAATGGTTATGGAGTTAATGGAATGAGAATTTAGGAATCAAATGGTTGGTTGGGGGGGTGTAGATAGAGAAAGGATAGTATGAAGGCCTCCTTGAGTTTTGTTAGAAGTTAATAATAGATTAGACTGGACATTCAGAAAGACAAAGACAAAGAAACTAAACTCAGGAAGGCCCCATGTAGCATAATCAACATAAACCCCTTTACTTAATACTTAAGCCTAAACAGCTTGTCCCTAAACACACCCCACCCCCACCCCACCAAAATTTAGCCTCAACCAAACAACAGGAAAGGTTATATGACTGAAAGAAATCCAAGGGGGAGGCCCATACTGATGCTGGATTTACTTTCGCTGGGAGGTGTGTTTTCCAGCAACAGCAGCTTGAGTTGAACTCAGTTTTCGAGGAAAAAATATTTTTATCTAGTAATTCCCTGCTCTTATTTCCTCCACTTCCAAAGGAAACAGTTAAAAATTCCAGGAAGGGGAACAGAACTATTTGGCGCTGGAAGCTGAAAGTAATTTTACTTTAAAGGAATGAGAAAGCTTAGCCGCTTTTATGATTCCAAACTACATCAGAGAAAAGACAGCGATTATGTAAAACTAATGGGTTTTGATCATTTTCAAAGTTAAGGTGTACGGAATGGCTGAGGAGTAGAAAGGGGGAAAGAGTGAGAGAAGCAAAGGAAAGTGGAAGAAGTAGGAATTAACAAGTTAAAAAAAACACTATGCTGCTTTAATCTCAGATTATTCTAAATGTTCTGAAGAAAGAGAAAAAGAAGATGGGGAAGGAAATAGGCTGCTTCAAACAGGGATGAAGACAAGTTGGTGGGTCCTGTTCACGAGAGAGAGCCAGAGGTGGAAGACCTGAGTGGAGGCTGATGAGCGGTGCACAGAGAGAGGCTGCTCCCAAGTCTAGCAAGAGCTCATCCTATCAGCTTAGGAGCAGGGACCGGTGCAGTGGGGCTGTTACTCATCAGTAACAAGCAGCCTCCCTGCCTTGGTGGTACATAAGTCCTCTAACTTTTCTGAAAGAGTTGGAGGGGATGAAGAGAATGAATTTTTCTACCTTCT